GCGCGCTACCCACCCTCCTGGGCGCAGGCGGGACGTCCTCCCGCTCCCCGAGCCTCTCCGCGGGCCCCACGCCGCTGTGCCCGGCCCTTTGCCGGCTCTCCTCCCACGGACTTGCGCTCCCCGGGGGAGGCTCGGCCTTGCTGTCCTCTGGTCCCCCGCGTCCTCCGGTGGCCGCAAACCTCGATGAAGCCGAGCACGCGGCCGCCCCGCCCCGGCTCCCGCGCGGCGCCCGGTTCCACCGAGTGCGCGGCGGACGCGCGGGCTGCTTCCCGGTCGCTAGCCCTGAACTTGAACCGCTGCCCGCTCCCGGGCGGCCACGGCTGCAAGGGCAGAGCTGTCCTCCCGCATAATAGGGAGGCGGCGGGTCACTTGGGTTAAAATGGACTCAGGGCCTGGCTGGCTCCCACAAAGCTTGAAAGGGCGGAGGACTTGGGGATAAGATGCGACCACGTGGACTCAACTGTATCAAATGGACTACTCCGGTGAGGAAGAGGGGCCTCCGGGCAAGGACTGTCCCCACACCGCCCTCTCCATTTTGCTGTGAATCCAAAACTGTTGTTTAAAAAAGAAAACAACAACAACAACAGAAAAACAGTCTTAACAAAAGAGCACAGAGTGACCGGGTCACTGGCTCCTCCCAGGCCCCTCCCCCCATGGGTAAGGTTCCAGGCCCAAGCTTGGGAAGAGAGTCTCTTCCCACCCCCACCCTAAGGAGAACTGGGTTACAGGGCTCCCCAAACCTGTGGCCCTCAAGAATAAGAGGCACATATTTGGTCAGATGGTCTCTTTAGGCCCCTTGGCCACCAGGGCACAGAACTGGGAAGGAGGTCCCAGGCGACTCCCCGTGGGTTCCCAAAGTCCTTTCCCTAGGCTTCTCTGCCAAGACACCTTTGGAGGGAATCACTGCCCTGATGTTGCAGAAGAGTCCCTGGAGACCTGGAGATGGGAAGGGACTTGCTCAAAGTCACAGGGACAGAGGTGGCCCAGCCAGGGCTAAGGCAGTACCATCCCCCAGGACAGCCACTAGCCCCATGTCACTACGAGCAGTTAAAATGCAACTGATCTGAACTGAGATGCACTTTTTTCTCTCTTTTTGAAAAATAGTTTTAGTTGTAGGTGGGCACACTGCTTTATTTTGTTTATTTAGTTTTATGTGGTGCTGGGGATCCAACCCAGGGCCTCACACATGCTAGGCAAGTGCTCTACTACTGAGCTATGACCCTGGCCCCTTGAGATGCACTTTGAGGTTAAGCACACACCAGATTTCAAAGGTGTGATGTGGCCAAAAAGTAAACATCTCACTAGTAATTAAAAAGATTCATTTCATCTCAAAATGATAATATTTTAGCCAGGCACAGTGGCGCACGCCTGTAATCCCAGTGGCTTGGGAGGCTGAGATAGGAGGATCGCCAGTTCAAAGCCAGCCTCAACAATGGTGAGGCACTAAGCAACTCAGTGAGACCCTGTCTCTAAATACAATACAAAATACGGCTGGGGATGGGGCTCAGGGTTCGAATGCCCCAGAATTCAATCCTGGTACCCCTCCCCCCACCTGCCAAAATTTAGGCATATTGGATTAAGTACAAATACTATTAGAAAGGATTCTACCAGTTTCTTTTCACTTTGTTTTAATGTGGTTACCAGAAAATTTAAGATGACATGTGTGGCTTTGCGCTTGTGGCTTTGGTCAGAGCCGGCGTGGGGCAGGGCCTTTAACTCTTTAGACAGGTCTCCACTCACTGCCCACAGCTACCACCAGGGCAGGCAGGACGACACCCAGCACCCAGGAGTCTGAGGGCTCGGATTAGCTGCTGCGGGCTTCCATCTGAGCTGTGCCACTGGGCGCAGTCTGACCTCCCTGTGCCCATGGCTCCCTCTGCTCTGCCGCCCCCATGCCTGGTGCAGAGCAGCCCGGCCTTTCATGTCACGCGGATGAATGGCCCGCTCCACTCTGGCTCTTTGGCTGTGAAGGGGGTGCTCCTCAGGCTGCTTCCCATCTCTACACACATGTCCATAAGATGCCCAGCCGTGGGCGCAGCCACATTTGAGGCTGCTCCTGACCTAATTTGGGGTCCTTTGAAAGCAAAGCCTGTGTGAGGACCTGGAGCTAACCTGAGTAGGCAGGAGGGTGTGGCAGAGGAGGAGGACTGGTGGAGGAGGGTGTCGCTGTGTGGCTCCCTGGAGAAGGGATGCTGGCTTCCCCTGAACTGTGGAGGCGGATGGAGTGCCCCAGCACCGTCCCTGGAAGTGCCTGTCCACTGGCTGCTGCCCTCCATTGCAGAAGTGCTCCAGGGCCCTCTGCTCCATCAACCGTGGGCTGTGCTGCAGCCTCAGGAGGCCTTGGGTGGACCCTGAGGGTAAAAGCACCTGCTCACAGTGGCTCTCCTGCCAACAGGTGCAGGGCCTCCCACCTTGCTGCAGCTGGGACCAGAGGTGGGCCAAGGGCATGCTCGAAAAGTGTCTGCAGCATTTCCTAAAATTCCTAGACACCAAAACCAATTCACAATTGCTCCGACAAATAGAGGAGTTTAAGAGCTGAACTTCAGGCTGCAGCATAGACAGAGTCTGCATGGTTATGGGCAGACTTCATTGTCAACCAGTACCTATGGTATCCCTCCTCTGTGCTGGGCCCTAGCCCACCTCGAAAGGGTGGCAGAGTGAAAGAAGGGGTAAAGACACTGTGGTATCAACCGAGTGGGACCTTTCCTAATCCATAATCAGGTAAGTCACTTGCCCACTTGGGCCCTGTGATCTTCATTGGTAAAGGGGTACTGATGCTGTTTTGTTTTCATTGGTGACACAGATACCACTGTCGGGTGACAGCACAATGGCAAGACCCTGAAAGGGCTTGGCCCCTGCCCCAGGTCGAGCAGGACTTGGACTTGTGTGTCTCCCCACGCTCCCTACGCCTGCAGCCCGGGGTGCAGTGGTGAATAAGAGGGATGCCCTGCCCCAAGGAGCTCACAGATTGGAGGCAGAGAAGGAACCACCCCTGTGGATAATTGCAGGCAGGCTCTGAGGCAGAGCTGGAGCCCTGGGGAGAGAAGGGAGGCGGCCGTGACCTGCTGGGTCTTGGAACTCTTCCTGGAAGAGGTGCAACTAGAACATTCACCCCAAAGCCTGTGGGCCCCAGATGTGAGCTCCTGGCACAGACCAGACCTGGCTGAACCCCATAACTGACTGCTTGGCAAAGGACATTGGCAAACCCAGGTTGACTCTGGGCCATTTGCATATCATTTGCATCTATCTGCATATGTGGTGGCACAGGCTGGTCTCTTATGCATTTAAATTGCAAGTTATTTGTCTCTCTCTGAAAGCTCTCATTTCCCCTCAAGGGGGGTTGGCTGCGTTTCCCGGGTGGCCCTCATAGCAAGATTCTGTTGAGTTTGCTCAGCGCACTGCAAGGCTGTGGATCTTGGAGTACAATATGTGTTTGATTTTCTGGTTTTCAGAGCACCTTATTGTTAAGAATCTCTGGATGGCCTGTTACATAATGGAGCATTAGGAGTGAGTACCCTTTGATGCAGATGGGGAAATTGAGGCAGGACTAGTGAGATGCCAAACCTCACTTAGGTTTCAAGGAGGAACATGGTCGGGGTCAGGGCTCCTGATTTCTGACCCTATGTTGGATGGTGGGAAGAGGCCACCATCTTGCCCAAGGCCAAACAGCTGTCTGGGATGCTGTACTGGCCCCCCAGCCCTGCCTCAAGACAATGCGCTCCCTCTGCCAAGGGACTGTTTTGGCTATGGTGTCAAGGAAGGAGGCACTTCCCAGAGGGCAGGGCTCTCTCTGCACCCAGATGGTGCATCTCTGACTTGACATGAAAACCAGACTTTTAGATATTCAGATGGTGTCCTACAGTGTGTCACCAGCGCAGAGTGAGGACTCACTCGCAGCCTCAGTGGGTCTAGCCAGCCATCATGTCATTTGGGTATATTTACCTGTGATAGGAGAGGTGTGTGATTCACTGTCAGTGACAGCTGTCATTGACTGAGTGCAGGCGACAGTGCTGGGCTTTCCCTTGGTCCACTGCCGTTCCTCGTCCTGCAGACAGGGTCATTCTGCTGTACGGGCGAGGCTGCTGAGGCTCAATGAGGTAGAGAGTTTCACTCAAGTTCACACAGTAAAGTGTCCAGGTTAAGGCTCAACATCAGGGTTGACAGGCTCCAGACCCCAACAAAAGAAGGCTCGCACTTACCTCCAGACCATGTCACTCCCCCATCAAGTCTGAAACTAGACCTAACATCAGTACCACATAAGTCTTGGGCAGCAGGATGTAGGGATTTATGAAACACACACTGTTGGGAGTCAAGGGGTCTCTGTACAGGTTAACTTTCTGCTGGTATAATGATAAAATCTGGGGGAAAATGTAACAATTTTTTTGACATTTCCAAATAATAACCAATAACAGGCAGAAACTGGAGGGGATGTGGCCCTTGAAAGGAGGGAAACGGGCTGATGAGAGACACAGTCCTCTGGTTTTACGTTGAGGCGTTCCCTGCTTTCTGTGGTGTGTGAGTCAGAGCAGAAGGCTGACTGGCTCAGGAGGAGGCAGCTGGAGTTCAGGCCTCCACAGCAGCAAGGAAGAAAACCCCAGGAAAGACAGCCACTTTCCCCTAGGATACAACTCCCGGAAGCCTTGGGGAAAACACTCCTGGAACATGGAAGGAGATGAGCAAAGATTTCTGTAGCTACTTAGCATTGGGGAGACAGATTTTCTTCATCAAATCTCTGCAAGTTAGGGGGGCTTGGTAAACACCCAGCCTTTTCATTGAGATCCTGGGAAACTGTGACTTAGGAGTAAACACCCAAACAGACCTGCCCTAAAAAGTCTAAACTCAAGGCTGCACAAGATCATAGTGAATGGTCAGCAACTAAACAGAACAATAGGCAAAACTCTTCAGAGGAAGATAACACAATCCAGAATCTCTGCACTGTACCATTTACAATGTCCAGCATACAATAAAAAATTACTAGATACTGTAAAGAAGCAGGAAAATATGACACAGTCAATTTTATTTTTTAAAGATGGAAACAGATTCAGATGTTGAAATTAGTAGGGAGATTTTCCATTGTTATAATAAATTCGTTTAAGAATCTACAGGAAAAGGCAATTATAATGGGTAACAACAAGGAAAATTTCAGAAGTGTTTCCTACGGTTGATGGAATAAAGTCCCATGAACTAAGTTGTTTAAGAAAGAGAAATATTTTCTTTTACAGTCTCAGAGGCTACAGGTCTGAAATCCAGGTATTGGCAGCCTGGTTCCTTCTGATGACTCTTAGGGAGAGTGTTCCAGGTTTCTCTCCTAGTTTCTAGTGACAGGGGAGATTGTTGGCATTCCTTGGATTAGACGCATCCATGGTCTCCCTCCTTCACGTGGCATTCTCCCCGCATCTCTAGCCTCTTTTTAGGAGGACACCAGTCATAGTGTACCAAGGTCTACCTTACTCCAGAATGACCCCTTCTTAGCTAATTACATCTTCATGACTCTATTTCCAAATAAGGTTACATTCTAGGAAGTGGGGGTGAGAATTTCAACATATCTTTTTTGTGTGTGTGTGGTGGTGGTGGGGAGAACTAATTAAACCTCTAATAAAGGAAGATATGAAAAATTTTTAAAATCAAATTGAATTCTAAACTGAAAAATACAGTATCTGAAATTGAACATTCATTTGATGAGATTTAAAGCATATTAGAATCAATTTAAAAAAACAACGACCTTAAGAACAGATAAATAGAAATTATCTACACTGAAGCACATGTATACACACACACAATGGAATAATGAACAGAGCCTCATTAACATGGGATGGAGAAGGAAATCCACACATATGTGATTGGAGTCTCTCAGAGGAGGAAAGAGAATGAGACAGAAACAAAATTTGATGAGGCTATCAATAGGCTAAGAATATTCAAAGTTTAAATTAAAAAAAATCAACCTATAGCTTGAAATTCAGTGGACCCCAACTATGATAAATACAAAGAAAATAAGGGCTGAGGATATGACCTGATCATAGAGTACCACTCCCCCGACCAAAAAAAAAAAAAAAGTTACAAAAAAAATCATACTTAAGCACATCATGGTTACACTACTGAAACCAGAAGGGGTGGGTGTCTAAAAAGTAGCTCAGGAAAATATTTTAAATTGGGCATAGGAAAACAGTAAGGGAAAACCACAGACTTCACGTAAAAACAATGCAAGTCAGAAGACAATGGAACAGCATCTTACAAGCACTGAAAGAAAAAGCTGGTCCATTTAGAATTTTTTTTTTCTTTTTTATACTGGGGATTGAACCCAGGGGCGCTTGACCACTGAGCTGCATCTCCAGCCCTACTTTGTATTTTATTTAGAGACAGGGTCTCACTGAGTTGCTTAGCATCTCGCTTTTGCTGAGGCTGACTTTGAATTTGCGATCCTCCTGTCTCAGCCTCCTGAGCTGATGGGACTACAGGTGTGCACCACCGTGCCTAGCTGTCCATTTAGAATGATGTCAGCGAAAATATCTTTCAAAATGGAAAAATAAAAACACTGGACAAATGAAAATGGAGAATTTGATACCAATAGAACTTTGGTGTAAGAAAGGTTAAATAAAGATTTTTTTAAAACAATTTTTTTTAGTTGTTGTTAAATTCTTATTTTATTTGTTATTCATTTGTTATTTTATTTGTTATAAGTGGTGCTGAGAATCAAACCCAGTGCCTCACACCTGCTAGACAAATGCTTTACCACTGAGCTACAACCAGACCCAAATAAAGATCTTTATACTAAAGAAAAATGACGTCAGGTGAAATTTCAGATTTATAGGAACAAAACCAAAAGTACTGGATATGGTGAATGTGTTAATAAATACAAAAGACTATTTTTCTCAACTCTTTAAAAATTAGTCAATTCTCTCAAGCAAAAATAATAATGCATTCTGGGATAACATGTAAAAATAAAGTATGTGACCACAATATTATAAATGACAGAGAGGAGGCTGGTTATAGCTTCGTGCTTTAGTAAGGTTCTTACACTGTCATGAAGTGTGACACTGTTGGACAGTGGACTGTGCCAATGTAAGGGAGCATAGGGTAACCCCTGCTGGAGCAGCAGCTACTGTGGTTTAGATGAGTGTCCCCAGAGGCCCCAGGTCAATGGCTTAGTCACTGAGAAACTGTGGTGCTATTGGGAGGTGGTGGACCCTGTCCGAGGTGGGGCCTAGGGGAAGGAAGTTAGGTCGCTGGGTGCCCCTGAAGGGGGTCCTGGGATTCAGGCCCTTGTCCTTTTCTCCCCTCTGCCCCTGGCCGTCCTGGGGCCAACAGGCCTCCTCCATCACGTGCCTCTGTCCACCGGTGGTAGGGGAGGGCAAGGCAGGGCAGGGGCTGGAGCAGGAAGAGCCGGCTGGTTCCACACCACCCCAGGGCGGGCACCGACCCCAGGCTACTGCTCGCAGCGGGTGGTCTTTGGGCAGGAAGGGCCAGAGGGGCCCCGGGTGCGCTCCCCTTGGCCCACAGCTGACCTCTGGGGACACACCGCAATTAGACATGAGGAAGAGTGCTGTTTCCGTAAGGTCGTGACCGCTCAGTCCTCTGGGCTCCCCTCCTCCAAGGCCTGGTCGCAGAGGGTGGACTCTGCCCTGCTCCCCAGTACCGCGGCCTGCTTTCCCCTTCCATAAATGGTCTCCTCCTTCGGGCTGAGATTCCGTCTGCTCTGGCGCCCAGGTCGTCCCTCCCCGGCTGGTCAGTCACCAGGGTGGGAAGGGCCGGCTCGCTGTTTGTCCTCCGCTCCTGAAGGGCGTGGGGATTCACTTTGGTTTGGGTTCTTATGAACCGTGCGTCTTTTTATGAACCCACGGCTGCTGTGTGTGGGAGTGTGTGTGTGAGTGTGTGTGTGAGTGTGTGTGTGAGTGTGTGTGGGAGTGTGTGTGTGAGTGTGTGTGGGAGTGTGTGTGGGAGTGTGTGTGGGAGTGTGTGTGGGAGTGTGTGTGGGAGTGTGTGTGGGAGTGTGTCCCGGCAGTGCTGGGTGGACGGACCCATTGGGAGCCAAGGGACTGCTGGGTGGTGATTATAGGCGGGGCGCGGCTGAGAAGGAGGTGTGTGGGGGGTGGCTCTGGACTGCAGCTGTCCTCAGGGGTCCCGAGGCTCTGCTGGTACCTGGATTTCGGGCTCCCCCGTCTCCAGCACTGTGAGCCGCCAATCCTGTTGCTTATAAATTATGGCGTCTAAGATATTTCGCTCTGATTGAGACATCCCGGAGGAGTCCCCAAGCCGCGGACGTTCTATGCACTTGTGGACCATTTGGAAATTGTGTTGTGAAGGACGTTAGTGCCACTCCCCGATTTTTTTTCCTTGCAGCGACGTCTGTCCTCTCCTCCTCCTCCTCCTCTTGTTGATTGGTAGAAGTTCTTTACATATTCTGAGGGGAAGACCATTTGTTGCACACACACGTGCGCGTGTGTGTAGAAGGCTGGTCGGTCGTCTCTGTCACAAACACTGAGCACCACAGTGGTTGGGCCGTATTTACTCTGTGGGTGGTGACAGGGTTTCAAGCAAAAGACATAATATGTCACATCAGATTAATCTGATGTGAATTGATTTTGTATTTGATTGATCGATCTGTCTTGGTTTTATAGTTGTATAAAAGCTACCAGGACTTTATGTCTCGTTTTTCGTTTGTAGATATTTAAGCCACACACAATAAAAGTCACTTAAAGCAGCAATGAGGGCCCACGCTCTTCTCCGAGATTTTCTGAGCAGAAATCCATTCTGGTAATTCCCCTGCTTAACGCATCTCAGATGTTCCTGGGTTCTGTCTGGGGGCCGGGCCCCTTCCCCAGACTCCCCGTCACTCATCGGAGCGCTGCCTCTTTCTGGGTAGGAGCTCTCTCCACCCGTGCTCTCTGCACAGGCCCCTGCCCTTCCTGTTCCCATTTTGGAGCAGACTTTGCCTGTGTCACCTCTGTCACTTAGCGCTCACTGAGTTAGCGGTCACTTCTCAGGACAGCCCTCACTACGGCCGACCTCCCGTCCTGGTCGATCCCTCTCCTCCTTTGCATAATCTCAGGTAATTTTGAGTTTATTAAAAGGACTCTCCCCTCCCAGAGTGCAGTTTCTGTGAAAAGAACAGTAAGTACGTCGTGCCCTGCACCTTTTTGTCCCAATGTCTAGCCTGGCATGTGACGTTTGGTGAGTGGTCAGTGGATGTGTGTTGAGGCCTTACTGGTCTGAGTTTCCTGTGGGGACTGTGTTGGTGCTGGAAGGCCAGGTCACATTCAGGGAGCAGCCAGAGGCAAGCCTGGCACCCAGCACCCTTGTTCAGCCTCTGGAATGAGAAGTCTGGCCAAGTACAGGGGCAGGTCTGCTGGCCATCAGCATGAGCACCCTAGGACAATCTAGTCCAAGTCTTTCATGCTGCAGATGAGGAGCCCAGGAACCAAGGAGGGGACAGGAATTGCCCCACGGGATGGGAATGAGGCTATATCCACAGCTTGGGTCACCTGGTGACTGACATTCTTTCCACTCTGTCCAACTCTCCAGGAGGTAGGGGACCGAGAGGGGTGGGCCAGCCTGCGACAGTCTGGAGACAACAGGGCCTTCCTGGTTCTCCCCCAGCATCTCTTCCAGAATCATCCTGGATGGGACTGTGTGTCTGTCGGGGGGGAAAGTGGGAGAGGATGGGAACACTCTGGAATAGAGACAGGACACTCAGGGCAGCTCTGGGAGGACAATCCACAGTGGAGGGGAACTCCAGGGCCTGTCCTCTGCCCCAGCCCTGGAGCTGGCGTTGTGGGGTGGAGCTAACTGCAGGGACTCCGCCCTCTGGGCAGGGGAGGGGAGTGCTTTCAAAATTCTAATTTGTTTTGAGACCACTGTGGACGCCCAGGTAGTGAGAAGAAATAACACAGAGGATGCAGGAACAGGGGTGCCGGCCTGCCCGGGGTCCTCAGTTGCCCTTGGACTTGTTTGCACCTGTTCTGTGCAATCTGTATGGCAGGCTCCTGCATCCTTCATCCCAGGCAGGATGGGGACACCTCGGCCACAGGGCTCCTGCCCTTCTTCATAACCACAGCGCCCCTCTCACCCACCCCATCGCCCTCATCTGGACAGCAGAAACCTTGCTACCACTGTCCCCAAAATATCTGGGAGGAACCGGTGCTGGCCTGAGTGACCTGGGTGGGGGGCTTGGCTCCCCACTCAGCAGAAGCCACTTCTCCAGTGCCACCCGTCTTTGATCCCATAGCCCCAGGGGCAGCTTCTGTTCTTCCCATTTTACAGCTGGGCACACTGAGGTCAGACTTCTGTTGAGCACGCTGCAGCCCGTCTGGGGCGAGGCGGGGTCTCCTCCGACCCTCCCACGCCCTCCCCAGGCTCCTCTGTTCCCTCTACAGAGACGGCGCCTGGGAGGCCCTGGTTGGCCACGGGGTGTGTGGCCCCCAATTTTGAGCCGCAGGTTGCCCCCCCCCCTCGGGAAGTGAGGGAAGGCTCACACCCTGCAGATCCACGGAGATGCAATCAGGCGACGTGCGAGGAGCAGTCAGCAAAGTGCCAGGCAGAACGAGCCCCGGCGCCCGCCGCCCGCCGAGCGCCCGCGGCCCCACTTGGCAATGAATTATGTATGGCCTTCTGGCGGCGGCGCGCACCGGGCTGCGCTCGCTCCTCGGGCTTCTCTCCCCATCGAGGGGCGCCGGCTCCCCGGGGGCGGGCAGCGTCCTTTGTCTCTCCGGCAGGGACCAGACCAGACTCCGTGGCAGGTGCCTGGGGTCCCGGGATGCCCATTTCCCAGGCTGGAGGACCGAGGGCTGGGTCGGTGCGGGCCTTGGCATCCCGATTACAATAGGAGCCCAGCGATGCCAACAGCAGCGAGGTCACGCCAGCCGGCCTCCTCCTGCCTCCCCGTGGGCCAGACACTGCCCAAGCATCATGCATTCGGCAACGACGAGTGCCCCAGGCGGTGCTGCCCTAGGTGTTGGGGGTGCACTGAGATGAAAAAATGTCCTGCCCTCAGGAGCCCGGATCCGGGATCCCGCTGCAGGAGGGCGCCCCTGATAAATGATTAATTGGTTGAAAGCTGTGAGGGGAGAGGGAGGGGTGGGCGTGGCCGGAGAAAGTCCGCCCTGTGGAGCCAGCCTTTGAGCAGGCCCCTGAAGGAAGTGGGGAAGCCATCTCCAGGAGACATCTGGGGAGGAACAGTGCAGGCCAAAGGACCAGCGAGTGCAAAGGGCCTGGGGCAGGTCTAGGCATGGTCCTCACTCGGTGCACATCCCTTTTTGGAGATAAGAAAAACTGAGATGCTGAGGCTTTTAATCTTTGCCTGTGTGCTTTGCTGTGGAGGGACCAATGTGTCCAGGGCCGCCCGTGCTGCCTGGGGTGTTAGGTATGCAGGATATGTATCCTGTTATCTTTCTACCACAGGAGAATCTGAGTGCCGGATCTGTCTGCCAGCGATTTTTGGTCAGGGACCACGGGCCTGCAGGATCCTGCTCCTGTCAGTGCTGCGTGTCATCTGGCTTGCCTCAGAACACGCACCTGCGCCTGTCCTCCTTGAGAGGCAGGCTGCAAGCTCCCAATATCGAACAACCCACAGGAGCCCAGCATTTCGGTCAGAGACCCCGCTCTGGAGCATGTCCTGGCCCTCCATCTTGCCCTGATTCCACCCCACACAGGCCCCACCGGGCCGGGCTGAGGAAGAGCAGGGGGCTGGTGACAGAGCTGGAGAGGCAGCTCAGCGAGGGCTCTGCCGGAAATGCTGAAGTCTTCAGGTGCAGACTGGACATTCCCAGGTGGGGCCGGGGTGGAGGACGAGAGGCCATATCTGGCCATCTCCAGCTGGATGGGGTGTGAGGCAGCCGTGGGGGTGGGGAGGAGGAAAGAGAAGGGGCCAGAGCCTCCCGCCAGCCTTCCTGCCTCCTGGGTGGACCTTGGGATTCCTCCTGCACAAGTTCTAGTCCCACTACCCGAGCCACTGATCTCTGGCAGTCCCCGCTACCTTGCTTAGGAAGGCAGTCTGTAGCCAGGGCCCAGCTGGCCCCCAGCCCGCCAAGCCTCTGTGGGGGCAGCTCCATGCTTTGTGCCGGCTTGGAAGGCAGTGGTAGGCCAGGCCGAGTCAGAGGAGGTCCTCTCTGAAAGCCTCTTACCTGCAGCCTCACCGCCTGGGGAGGGCCTGGCTTCCTGGGCCTTTCTGAACTGAAGTTAGTTAGGGCACCATCTGGTCACACCCAGCAGCCCCGGGCTCTTCTCTTTTCCTCTGTATAATGGGCATAATCCTGGATCCTAATGGCCTTGGGAGGTTAAAGGAAACGAGTGTAGGGTGCTAATCTCAGCCCCAGCTACACAGTAAGCATTTAATGTCCCTATTATGGGTCATTACTGGGGCTCTGGAGCCAACTTCTGGGGGTCTCAAATCTTGGCTCTCTCACTTCCTGGCTTTGTGATTTGGGGCAAGTTACTTAACCTCTCTGTGCCTTAGTTTCCTGATCTATAAAATGGAATTAGTCGTAGGCTTATTCATATTTTCCCCTCTCTCTCATAGGCCCATTGGGTGGATTAAATGAATTAATATGAGTACAGGGTTTGCAAGTGCTTGGTACAGGGAAAGGGCTGGGCCGACTTTGGCTGTTACTACTATTGCAGCTCACCCTGAGCACCTGGTCCTGACCACAGCGAGGAGAGTCCAGCCTCTTCCAGAGCTTTTGCAGAGCTGGGCTGTGCTTCCTGTTCCTGCACCCCTCCCCCAAGCGTCTCTTGAAATCACCCTGCACATGTCTGCTGGTTAGAGTCACTGGAAGTTCATCCTTAGAGCTACCCTGTCTTTCCTAGGCTAATGCCTCCAGGTTCCCATAGAGCCTGGGATGGGAAAATGATGGAAGGAACTAGAAGTTTGAAAGATCAAGCCCAGACCTACCAAGCTGAGCCCAGAATCCAGCAAAATGATCCACCCTGGCTGGGGGGGGCGGGGGGGGCAGTGGCCCAGGGTTCTCCTCCTCCCTCGGAGGTCTCCGGCCAGAACCACAGCCAGTCCACCTTCACCCTGCACTCAGGCCCAGAGGGGGTGGGGCGAGGGGGCGGGAGCTGAGAGCAGGAGGGTCCCTGGAGCCGCAGAGGGGCAGGAGTGTGGGAACGGAGGGCACAGAGCAGGGGCCGCAGGGTGGGCATGGGAGCCCGGGAGGCCGGCAGCCAGAGAGGGAGGCCTCATACCAGACACTGTCTAGACGCCGCAATTATTGTGAGCTCAGAACACAGGCCTGCCTGCCGCTGAAAGGAGCCTGACAAAGAGGAGGGAGGAAGAAAGCCCAGCCAGCCGCCGCCTCCCGGCCTCCGCTACCCGCTTTGTGCTCAGCGGCCCTGGGGGACTGCAGCTCAGAGATGCCTGAGGGGGACAAGCTCCTCTGGGCCCCGAGGGCCAGGCAGGTCACTGTGTGGGTTGGGGAGGGCGAGGGGTCCCCCGCTAGGGTCTGGTGCTTCCCACTGGGCAGCTCTGGGCTGCTTACAGATGTCTCTGGGCCTCGGCCTTCTCCTCTGCCAAGCAGAAGCTGCCGCAGCCTGGCCCAACGCGATGGCCGAGATGGCCGTGGGGACGGGACCGGCTTGCCTGGCTCTGGAAGCCCACGCCCCTCATCACCACCGGAAACGGCAGGGCCCGAGCGCATGGCCGGGCCACTTCTCTTGCCAAGGGCCTGGCCTCCGTCATTGCACTGCCCACAGGAGGGAAGGCTGTTGTCCCTCTCACTGTGCAGAGGGAGGCCTAGGACCCGCCAGCAGGTTTGGATTTCAGTGTGTCCCATAATCTGTGACTTTATGCTATACCCCCACTGAGGGGCTGATGGAAAGCCATCATCCCACGTGGGCCCAGCGCCCGCAGGGGGGTCAGTGCTGCGGGGGTGGGAACACCTTGTCCCACCTGTGTGCACGACGCCCTCCCTTCTTCTCTGCACCGTCCCACGGGACCTGCACAGGGCTGGCAGGGCTCCAGGCCCTGGGCTTTTGTGGCTACAAACGTAGCTGAGTCCCTTGAGCCAAGTCAGCAGGCCCGTGATGAAGCAGCCGCGGCTGCGGCCCAGCTCAGGGTGGCCCTGCGGCCTTCCCATCCTCCTCTCCTCCCTTTCACTTTTTGGAGCCTCCAGGACTCTGGCCTCTGTGCCACCTACATGTCCACCTTACCCAGGCCGATGGCAGAGCCAGGATAGACCACTGCCACACAGGCCACGGACTGGAATTGGAGTCCTGCCTGGTGAGAAGGGCAGCTCCCTGCTGAGGGGCCACCTCCCCACCCTGGGAGACAGCGGTGGACGGGTGGCCTGGCCCAGCTGGAGGCCTTCTCAGCACCTTGCTGGCCTGAGACTCTGCCCTCCAACCAGCCACCCAGCAGCCCCAAGCTGTTGGCTGCTCAGGAGAGATCAGGTGCCGGCCAAGGGCGACAGAGTGGCCAGGCAGGGTGGGTTTGCCCAGGGCCCCCGGGGCCTCCCTCCCCCACCTCAGTGGAGGGCAGTGGACCCGGTGCCAGGGACACATACATCCACCCTCACCCACAAGCTGCCCAGAGGTGCACTGCCACCCATGCCCAGTGTCCTTCCCAGCCCCTGAGTGTCACCACATTTGCTGAGTGCCTGGCTGGGCTCAGCGCTGGGACCCAGCCTTCTCCTCTCCATGGTCCACGCCAGATCCCTCCGCTGCACCCAAGGCTCCCAACGAGGCTCGGCGCCACAGAACATCCCCCAGAGCTCTCGCTGCCCCTTTCTTTCCAGGCTTTGCTCAGGCCGTCCCTCTGCCCTGCACACCCCTGACTGCTCCCACCATGTCCTCAAATGCATGGCCTCCCAAGAGCCTTCTCCCCTCTGCTGTCCCCTGCCCCTGGGGCAGCACCAGCCTCCATCATCGCACAAGCCAGAGCCCAGGCACCTCCCTGACCCCTCTGCGGCCTCCCGCAACCCCACCCACCTATGGCTCCAAGTCCTGTCCTCTGCACCATACTGTCCAAGGCGAGCTCCCCTGTCTCAGAGACCACTCCCTGGAGCAGGCTGCCACGGCCTTCCTGGGGACCTTGACACCATGCTCCTGCACCCACCCTTGTCCCCTATGGGCCCAGGCAGCCTTGCAGACCTGGTCTCCTGGCTCCTCTATGAAACCCGCCATGCCTTCCAGCCACACCTCTTCCCAGGCTCTCAGGACGAGGCCCCGGATCCTCATCCACACCACCTGCCCCCCACCCTGTCCTTCTTCACCTAGTTAGCCACCTGGTCCTCAGGCACCCTTCTCAGGGAGACCTTCTCTGACCCCTGCAGGGGTCGGGCCCAGGGACCAGCCTTCCCAGCCTGTGGCCTCTGGCCATCACTGAATGTCTTACCACGCCTTGCCCAGCCTCAGCAGGCCTGTGAGCCTGCGCAGGCAGGACTGTCTGGGCCTTGCCTGTTCTGTGTCCCCAGCATCCTCTGCTTAGGTGTCCTCTCTGGGTTTGGTTTTCAGCCTGGTGCTACCCAGACGTAGGGGAAAGGGAGCCCAGGTCCCTCCACCCTCCCCCAGGATCCCCCCACAGAGGCCCTGGGCAGCACTCCTTGCCCCCCTCCCCAGGGTTCCCTGCAAGGACGAGGACAAGGACATGTTGGTGTGCTGTCCGTGGGCAGGAGAGCACGGGGAGGGCAGGGCCGTGGCTGCCGGGCCTTCCCCTCCGTCCTCCAGGCCCCTGACAGCCTGGCCCTGGGCGGGGAGGCTGACCGGGCTGCTCTCAGCTGGGACTGGGGAGGCAGGGCGGCGGCTGGGCCCAGGAGAGCTGGAGAGGGCGGGGAGGGTGGCAGCCCCAGCCTTCCCCAGCCAGACCCGCCAGCTGCTTCCCGCCGCAGTGGGCCGTCCTCCCTCCCCACTCCCCTCCGCTGTCCTCCCCTCCCCAGTCTCCTTCCTCTCCTCGTTTCCTCTCCTCTCCTCTTTTCTCTGAGTCCTTCTCCCTCGCCTCCTTCCTTTCTTCTTCCTGGGTTAAAAATAATCAACTTTCTGGGAAGCAGCAGCTCCCGCCGAGCCGCCCTCCCCACATCGGGAGCCCCTGAGAATAGCTTTCCGCGGCTCTCCTCGCGCCCCTCCTCTCCCCTCCGCCCCCTCCCCAGCTGACTAATAAGCCCGGGCAGCGCCGCAGTGCCAGCTCGCTGCAAAGGCCTTAACCGCTTCGTGCCCGGCGCGGCCGCGAGGGGCGGCGGGTCGCGGGCAGCCCGGAAGGCAGCCAGGCGACATCCAAGCCCGCTGCTCCGAGCGGCACGTAGTAGACGCTCAGTTAATACCGTGGATGGATGAACTCTGAACCCTGGCAAGCCTGGCTGCTGCCTGTGCCGCTGAGGGCCAGGTGACGGCGAAGGGGCACGAGGGACGTGTCAAGGGCGGCCACCCAGGGGATAGGTGGGGCGGGGTCACGTAGACGGCGTGACTGGGCCCCCTGCCCGTAGCCCGGGAACTCCTTGGTCCTTGGCGCTGGGCATCTCCTGGGAGGGCCAGGTCAAGGGCGGGGAGGGGCTGCAAACTGTCCTGGGGCCCGCGGGAGGACCGGTGGCGATCACCAAGGGAAACTGAGGCCCAGAGGGTGCGGTCGGGCCGGGACGTGCCGGGCTCCCGCCGCAGGCTCTAAGGGAGGCCCGCCGTCCTCGGCTTCAGCTGGGGCTTCTGCCAGGCAGAGGCTGGGAGGAGGGGCGGAGGACAGCAAGGTCAAAGGTGAGGGGTTGGCGCGGGGAGCGCAGGCGGGCGCAGCGGGCTCCGCGCCGGCCCCGCCCACCCTGCGCGTCCCGGCATTACCTCATCGCCGCGCGTGCCCATTGGCTGGTTCCGCCGGAGGCCGGCCCAATGCGGCGGAGCCCGTTAACCCTTTGCGGCTCTCCCCTGGCCAAGTCGCCTGCCTTCGCGGCCCCCACGCGGCTTCAGGCGCCCGAGGGCCACGGAGGTCGGGGAGAGGTAGAGCGGGAGCCGACCGAGGTGCCAGCAGTTAGAGCACAGATCGGACAACCCTGGCTCCCGTCCTTGCCGAGCTATGAGCTGTGTGACCTTGGGCAACCGGCTTCACCTCGCTGAGCCTCTGTTTGTTTTCTCAGCTGTAAAAAGAAGCGAATGATGTAACTCCTGCCCTTCCTAATTCCTTCCCGGGGTGCTTGCCAACTGCTGGGCACACGTGGGCCCCGCGTTCCACTGTGCCTCCTCGCTGCAAGAGGTAGTTATTATTATGGGTTTTCAGGAGAGGGAGCTAGGCTCAGAGCAGCAAAGCCATCTCCCAAGATCACACAGCAAGAAAGCCCCAGAGCTGGGGTCGGACCCCAAGCAATGCAAGATACGCTTCCCAGCTGGTCACACCATGACACGTGCCACTGTGATCAAATAAAACCAGCGACAAGCTGGAGAGCCAGCCCAGGGCCTTCGGAGAGGGAGAAAGGAAGAAGGGGGAGGGAGTGGAACCTTCAAACGGGGGTGGGGGGTGGAGGAGGACGCTCAGACAAAGGCATGGGAGAGACGGAGCCCGTGGGGTGCACAAAATCGGGATGGGAAGCTCTAAAGGAAGCTCAGGCCTCCTGGGGTCAACCTGCTGGTCAAGGGTTAGCTACTGGAGGAGCCTCTGTGGGGCCAGGGGAGGCTGCTACTCTCTGGGCAGCATAGGGGTCAGCCTGGGGCAGGAGTACAGAGGACGCCATCTGCCTCATGTCTAAGTGTTTACAAGTTATAAATCAAACTAACAAACTGCTAAATAAAATATGTTCTGTCTTCCTTCCTTGACAAATCCACCTTCATAAGGGCAAATACACCTGGAAGGCTGGGTTTGTGTTTAGAATTCTCAGTCTTCTTGGAGTCTGCCCTAGAAATGGTGGCGTGGAGGACACTGGCCCCTGACCTGTGGCTTCCCACTTGGCCCCTCTCTTCTTTCTACTCCGGGTTTCGTCCTTTCACATGAGGGGGCTGCTCGTACTCAGGTGTGGACACTCAGTTTGCACACCTAAGCTGTCTACACCTGCTGCAGGCAACCGCTTCCCGGCCACCTCTCAGACAGAAGGGCACCCAGATGGGCGGCGGAGACAGCCCTTGGGAGAACAGACCCAGGGAAAGCACTGGGGGCCTTTGAGCAGGGAACTGCAGGGTCCCAGGCACCAGGTCATGGTCACAGGGCCCAGGGTGTCAGCTAGGCATGTCCCCACAGGTCCAAGTGACCTCTAAATCAGGATTCATTTGAGGGTGGTTCTGCCGCCAGCCCTGGGTTGTAGCTGGAGATGGGGTGGCCTGAGTGGACAGAGGGTCTCCCTTTCTTCTTGAACTTGCTCTTGACTGTCACTTCCAGCCACATACCCCACCCTGGCCAGATCCCAGCAAGGCGAATCAGCTGTCTCCACCCTCCCCCATCCCCCAGCCTTCCCTCTCCTGTCCCCTCCCTGGGCTCACAGCCCTGCCGCCTGCCTGCCCCATATCCAGTGTGTCCTTATGTCAGCCACACAGATGTTCCTAGGAGGCAAGCCTGGCCACCTCCTTCCCTCTCTGACCAGGCCAGGCTCCTGGACTCACAGGTATCACTGCCAGGCCACAGGTGGTAGCTCCCTGGTGCTCCCCCACCACAGTTCGGAGCACCAGCCATTTGGACATTCTCTCTCATCTGGACAGCTTTATGCTCTCTCTCCCTGGGGTCATCAGGCATGTCCCTCTCTGCCTGCACTCATTTCTGCTGTTCACCTTGCTCACCTGGGCTTGCAGGAGACCCTTCCTGACCCTCCGGACCATGAGAATGAGCTGGTTATCTGTGAATTTCCTGTTCCCAGGGTGTTTCCGCCTGGCCTGGGAGTGCCGGGGGACGGGTCTGCCCAGTCTTGCTCGAGCTCCATCCTGGGAGTCAGCAGGACCCCTAGCATGAGGGGGTGTCCTGGGACCCGGGCGGTGGAGTGACTCTTGCTGCGTTGGGGAACCGCAGCAGGTGTCCCTGCGGCTTGTGCTGCTCCAGGGCCGCGTTTTAAGCACGTTGTCCATCTCAATTCAACCCCTTTGAAGTAGGAGCTGTTGTCCCCATTCTAGGACACGGAAGCCTGAGAGGTGACAGAGGCATAGCACACAGCAGGGAGCAGCTGGCCCAGATCTGAACTTTTGAACAGAAGCCGGTGAGGGCCAAAGCTCAGCCGCCCCCTCCTTCTCGCCCCGACCAGGCCAATACCTCGCTGTGGGTCCCTGTCCCTCTGCCTCTCTGAGCTGAAGCTTTTCTGTGTGTGACTGTGGAGTTGGCCAGGGCAGACATCCCCGAGGCCCCTTCCCCCGCTGACATCCTGGGGTATTGTGACCTTCCAAAGTCCCCCTGGTGCTCTGCCCTGCAGTGAGCACCTGCTCTCAGCCTCCCCTCCCCAGGGCTCTCTGTGGAGCTCCCGTGTGAGGCACAGCTGAGGGGGCTGCCGACCGTTTAATGTAAGTCAGGTGGGGGGGCTGAGCACATCTTTCCTCCCAGCCGGCGAAGGCAGGGGTCCCCGTGGGCAGGGCTCCGGCTCGGACATCAGAAGGGTGCAAAGTCTTCTCCTCTGGGGAGCAGCTGCCTGGCCTGGGGCCTGGGACCCCCTCATCTGCCCTGCCTCACTAGCTGCACGAGTCTCCTGGGGCTGAGGACGTGTCACAGGTCCTGCTGGCATGGTGGCATGATGGGTACGCAGGAGCGCCGGTCACCCTTCCTCTTCTGACCCGTGGGCCCAGCAGGCAGAGGGCGGCCCCCCCAGCCAAGTGAACCAAGTGGTTCCGGGCGTCTCTGTTCCAAACATCCCCCGAGGCTGGAGCCCTGAGACCCTGGCCTCTCTGGCTATCTTGTCCTGGTAGCCAGACTGGACTGGCACTGGGCCTCCAGCCAACAGGGACCCAGCCCAGGCGATGAGCTAGCTACCAGGCACCGGGGCTCAGCAGATGGGAGGCTAGAGGTTGTGGGGCCTGGGGCAGCAATTTGGGACAGCAACTTGGGACAGAGTTAAGCCTGGGTTCCCCACCAAGGGCTTCACACAAATGGTGTCATTTTCAGAGGAGGACGTGAAATGGAGGCTCAGAAAGGGATAATGACTTGTCTGAGGTCACACAGAAAGGAGCAGGAGTCCGGATTCTGCTCTTGATCATCCTGCCCTCTGCCTCAGGCGAAGGCGTTTAGAAAACTCTTTATAGAGGGGGAGCTACACATAAGAAAGGTCTGGAAGAACCCCCTGGAATGCACACGTTTGGTGTAGAAGTGTCCATCAGTGTGCACGGAGGCTCCTGGCTTCATCCCAGCAGGACTTGCCTGTATTTGTCCCCTAGTCACCTGTCTCTGCTAGACTCCCAGCTTGGTGGAGCCGGTCGCCGCCTCCCTCCTCACTGCCACAGATCCAGCTCCCACAGCTGTCCCTCTCTGCACTGACCAGGGGCCTCTGCTTCTCCATCTCTGGGGGTGAGTCCCACTAGGATTCTGGGCTGGCAGGAGCCGGGTTCCTGCTGGGCCAGGGGAGGGGCCCCAACACCCCAGGGGCAGTGAGGCCCGGTGGCCATTCTGCAACTCTGGGCAGCTTGACCGCCTCAACCTCTCACAGAGGCACCCAGCTTGGAGGTCGCCTATAACTCTGCTCCTTCCCGGGTCCCCTCCCCTCCCCTCCCTAAGTCCCTGATTCTGATGCCCATCAGAAGAGACCCACCTTCCTGCTTGGCAAGGTCAGCACAGCCCAATGGGGCTCTGCTGGACCAGCACAAGGGGCGGAGGCTCCAGTCCAGGTCCCCTGGGAGGGGCCATCTGAAAAGAGGCACCTGTCACGGGTCAGAAACCCCAACCCAATGCCCCACCCTTGGGGCCAACACAGGTCTCATGGCCATTTTAAACATTCACTTGGGTAGGAATACTCACCTAGGGGAGACACCGCACCCCCCAGGGTCAAACTCAGCCCAGCAGGAAGCTGGTGGCCATAGTAAAGGTGCTCACAAGGACGTCTCTGAGTTTCCAAAAAGCACTTTTCAGTGTAAACCCATTTTACAGACTAGAAAGTTGAAACTTCAGACAGCAGTGACTGTAAGGCTCTGGCCTTGAGCTGGGGCAGGGTAGGACAGATCCAAGCCAGGTGAGTGACCCCAGGTGAGTCTGGGCCTCCAGCAGCTCTAGAGGAAATGGGGCAGAGGTGTGCTTGAGAAGGCCTTGAAGGAGGCGGGATTGTGACAGTGGTGACCAAGGGAGAGGTGGTGGCCAGACAGTAACTGGGCAAGACTTGGTGCATTGAGGAAGGCCATGGTAGGTCCCCACCCTCACTGGGGGACAATGCCACAGGGAGGGGGCAAGACTTGAGGCTATAGGAGGCCGGAGGAGGGGGCACACTGGCCTCGCGAGTGTGTTCTGGTCTGCGTGCAAACTGTGTGCTCAGGTACGCGAGGTGTGTGTGCAAATGGTCTGTGGATGTGGGAGATTCGCGTGCTCACTGTGTGAGGCATGTGGAATGCGTGTGTGTGCATGCACGTGGGTGCCTGCACACGCCCGCAGGCACTGCTGTGGTCTGCGTGATGGTGTGTGTTAGTGCTGTGTGTGCTGTGCTCTGGGGCATGGGGAGCGTCTGCTGTGTGCGGTGTTGTGGGGTGGTGCTAACTGGGACACTCCCCAGGGGAAGAGCAGGGAGAGATGGAGGCGGAGGAGTTAACCAGGAAAGCAGAGAGGCAGGGAGTGTTCTGGCAGAGGGAGCGCAGGGCACGTGCAGAGGCCTGGAGGCAGAAGAGGCAGCCTGGAGCACTGGGGGACTTGAAAGAGTTCCAAGGAGGCTGGGGGTGGGGATGCCAGGGTGCAGCAGCCTGGCCATGCTTTCTCTGCAGCCCAGGGTTAGCAGGAGGGCCCAGAGGGCTGAGCCAGGCCCAGCCGCTGACCAGGAGGGTCGGGCTGGCAGGGGCAGATGCTGGGTGGAGGTGGGGGAGGGCCACCTGGGATCCTGGACCTGAGCCTAATCCTGGGCAGCCCCCTGGAGCAACAGCCCTGCAGCAGAAATGGTGGTCCAAAGGAAGTGTCTGAGAGCTGCAGACCTCCTGGAGCATTTTCTCAGTGTGACATGGCACTGCTAAACAGTCTTACCAGGACCACCAGCTGGACAGGGCCAGGATGGTGGAGGATGGGGAAGAGGGTGGGGAGGAGGAGCCAGGATACGAACCCAGTTGATCTGACCCGGACCTTAATCATCCAGAAGCTGCTAGCCCAGGGTGCACAGCTACAGGCATTTTCTCATTTGCCCTGCCTTCACAGAGAGTCCACCTGGCCATTTGGCATGTCATCACCCTTGGGAGATGAGAGGATGGTGGCCAGCAGCCTCCTTCCTGACCAGGCCCTGCACCCAGCAGTAGGGGCCTTTTCCAGAGTGAACCCCACCCCTTGCATGATGTGGGGCACAGTTTTCTCATCCCACGCCCTAGAAGGGTCTGGGAGAGAAAGTCCTGCCCAGACAGCCCAGAAGCCCAGCGCTGCCGGGTCCTGAAGTGTGACTCTGGCTGGTCCCTTGCCATCTCTGCCTCCATTTACCGCTGTAGGGTTCACGCCGGGCATCTGCTAAGCCGCAGAGCAGGCCACTTAAGTTGTTCGGAGAACTTGGGGAGTGGCCCGAGGTCAGGCAGCCGGCACCAGCCCCCCCACCCCCCCGCAGTGACGGCCCGCCCCCAGGTGTCCCGCGGGGCGGTGGCCGCGGCCGGCCTGACGTCAGGCGGGCCTCGCTCTGCACAAACAGACGCGGCGGGCCAGGGCGGCCGGGGGCGGCGATGACTCAGGGCCCCGAGACCGGCCGGGCGGGAAGCGGAAAGTTCGGGCGGATGACATCAGCCGGCCGCGGGCGCGGGAGGGGGCCGGCTCCGGGAAGCCGCGGCCTGGCGGGCGGCCCGGCGCGCGGGGCGGGCAGAGCGGGGGCCGAGGACGCGCGGACGGCCCGGGCCTCGGAGCAGTGCGCTGCACCCGCCCGCGCAGCCGCCGCGCTCCCCGCGCTCCGGAGGCAGCCGCATCCATCCTGCGGCGGCCCTGCATTTTAATTACCCTGCATTAATATTCATGAGCCGGGCTCGAGGGGACCGCGCTGTCATTCCCTCCCTCGCCCGCGCACCCCTCCCCCTGCCGCCCGCGCGCACAGTGGGCGCTCAGCAGACCCGGGTGTGCGTGTGAGCCCGGGCGCCCGGGAGGCCCAGGGCAGGATCCGGGCCGAGCCGCGGACTGCAGAGTCCCGAGTCGCTTCCGCGCCTGTTATCCTTGGCTGCACGCCCAGCGAGTGTGAACCCGTGTGAACCAGCTGGGGCCGTGCGCTGCGTGCGTCCGGGCAGTCCCAGGGGCAGCTGGGGTCTGGGGAGGTCTTGTGTGCACATGTCTCTGTCAGCCCTGGAGAAGAACCAGGCTGGCCAGGTCAGCAGGGCCTGACTCTACACATGGGGAAACTGAGGCCTGGAGGGAGGCTGGGCTTTGTCCATAGTCATGGGATCCATCGGAGCCTGGCGATTGGGCCCCCTCCCACCCACTCTGCCGAGATGTGGTTTGTGACAGGTAGACACATGTGCTGGGCCAGCACCTCTCCCAGGGTCGTCTCAGCAAACCTGGGCAGCACCTGGTGTGTGGGTCCCTCTGCAGATGAGGAAACTGAGGCAAGTGCCCAGCTGGTTGGGGTGGGGCTACAGCCCTGGGAGGTCTCATTCTTGAGTTCCTGGCCAGGACATGATGTCCCCTGTGGTGCTCTCAGTTCCTCATGGAGGTGGTCTGCGGCACCTGGAAGTTCTTGGGGGTCCCAGGCGTCAGTGTGCCTCCTCTGAAACATGTTTCCCAAGTGAGTCGTGACAGGAGGCAGTGTTGCTGTGGCCCTCCTGTCCCTGTCCTTGCCCTCCAGCCGCAAAGGGGAAGGTGAGGAACCACGACTCACCAGGGCTCCCTGGAAGGCAGGCAGCAGGCAGATGCTGGGCTCCTGGCCTCCCACCCACCCTGGGCCTGGGGTCAGACACTCAGTCATCCCACAGATGCTCAGCTGCCTCTGTGTGGGGTCACTGTGCCAGGCCACTGGGGGCTCTTTGCCCCCCAATCTGATCATTGCCACTGGGATAGGGGTTCTCAGGGCCCCAAGGCAGGCTCTTCTTAT